GTTTTTATTAAAAAAAAAAAAAAAAAAAGGTCTTCAATTTCCTTTGCATGTATGTTACATAGATATATTTTTGGAGAAATACTAAGTGTGTGTGTGTATGTAATATAAAGGATAATTAAGAAGGAGGGCGCACTGTGGACAAAAACAGACAAATAAGTATACTCAAATCGCTACAAAGAAAGGGTGCTCACTCAAAGTCCGTATTCCCAGTAGAGTCTGAAACTACAATTAAAAAAAACAATTGAGGAGCACATCCTATAATTAGTAACATTTTATTTAATATACATAGACCATATATCAAGCTGAATAAAGTCACAAGGAACAACTAATTATGACAAATTATATCCATCATAAACAAAAAAGGACATATGACCTCTCACAATCACTAGAGGCACTTCCAATGTAACAGTCATATATCTCAAACATATATCTTTGATAGACTGGTACAAAATACTTACTTCTTTATTTAACTCCTGGATTTAACCATTGTTTCCTTTTCTCTTCCTTTTGCCAATTGTGACAAAAAGGTGGAGCTTAAAGGAACACTATAGTTACCTAAACAACTTTAGCTTAATGAAGCAGCTTTAGTGTATAGATCATGCCTCTCAGGTTACACTACTCAATTCTCTGCCATTTAGGAGTGAAATCACTTTGTTTCTGTTCATGCAGCCCTTGCCACACCTCCCCTGGCTCTGATTGACACAGCCTGCATGGAAAAAAAAAACTGGTTTCACTTTCAATCAGATGTAATTTACCTTAAACAATTGTATCTCTTTCTCTGTAAATTGAACTTTAATCACAGACAGGAGGCTCTTGCAGGGTCTAGCAAGCAATTAACATAGCAGGGGATAAGAAAATCTAAATTAAACAGAACTTGCAATAAAGAAAGGATAAACTTTAGATGACTCTTTACAGGAAGTGTTTAGGAAGGCTGTGCAAGTCACATGCAGGGAGGTGTGACTAGGGTTCATAAACAAACTGATTTAACTCCTAAATGGCAGATAATTTAACAGTGAGGCTGGGGGGCATGATCTATCACCAAAACTGCTTCATTAAGCTAAAGTTGTTTTGGTGACTATAGTGTCTCTTTAAGGCAAGCTCCACTTCCTTTGTCAAGCTAGCATTCCCACAATACTCGCCTCTCCTGTCCATCCTCTGATGCCTCCCGAGATTTTCAAGTGCAGAGCATGCCCAGTTCCATTTTCATCCCTTGTGGCTTATTGGGCATGCGCGGTCCTGGCCATCTCCAAAGTGCTCCCCTGTCGCATAGGCAAGCGAAGGCAGTGTCCTTCCGTCACTGTCTACGGTTAGAAGATAGTGACGCTGGAAATGAGGATCCAGCACTGCAAAAATTGTAAAATGTAACTTACTTGGGGATGAATAGAAAGCATATAAACACTGATTGGGTACACTGGGGAGTTAAGAAATTGGGGAGGGGTGACATTAAAGGTAAAAAGAAATTGTGACAGAGCCACTTTAAGGGTCCCGTGATGTTCTATGCTGCTGTATTTAGGAGAGTGAAGAGGAAATATGGCTTACCTTACACCATGGCTGGAAGTTACTCATCTGTTCCTTGAGCATTGTGACTTAATGATGTGTAAAGATTCACACAGAACATCTCGTACAGTTATTGCAAAGCATATTTTTCCTGATGTAGATATTGCAGAAAACTGATTCATACATACTCCTAGCATTTAGTTGACAATTTGATATCAAGTGGTTCAAAAGTGAAAAGATGAAGAGAGAATATTTTTAACATTTGACTGCTGTGAATATATTTTAGATCATTGTTTAGATGATTTGAATTTTTTCCCCCCTATGGCTCTCATTGCAACTACAACCAAGTTCTGATCTGAACCAGAACCACTACTGCTTAAACCCTTAAGGACACATGACATGTGTGACGTCATGATTCCCTTTTATTCCAGAAGTTTGGTCCTTAAGGGGTTAATGAAGTGGTTCTGAGGCAAAAAAAAAAACGTCCCTGCACTCACAGCAGAGTAAACACTGCTTTTTCTGGAAAAGAGTGTTGACATTGCTACCTAACACGTCCTCTAGAGGGGGAATACCTGGTTGTAGTTTGACATCTCTACATTCGTCATGGAGACTCTAAATGCTTCCCATAGAGATACATTGGGGCAGCACTGAAATTGCCGCACATGCACAAGCCCCCCTGATACTTACCAATAGGGATAGTTTCCCTTTCAAGTTTTTTCACATTGATACATTTTAATTAAGTTATGTTCTTTACAAATGTCTCATAAATAATCTGTTTGAAAAACCCCAAATTGACAATGGTACTCAGAGCACAGAGTCTTCATCAAAAACCAAAGGATCTATATTTAGAAGTGACTTTCCAGTGTCAATGATATACCTACTTCCTACAGTGGTTTCAATTTAGATCGGTATTTTTATTTACATTTATATGCATTGTTAGCTATTGTTTGCATATAAGACATATGATATTCACAATAGCCTTCAGGCTTACCTGGCTACGGAAATACTGGTAAAGGGTAAGGGAGGTGGAAGGTATTCTTTGTTTGTTAATTTATCACAAAGATTCGAAATTTGCGAGATCTTGATGATGAGGCTATTTGTTTTTGACATTTCCGCATGATTGCATGTAGATCGTAGAGAACTGAGCACTGGTGTATACAATAGAGTGTTTGTAGATTTCCTCTGGCTGGCCAGTTTGTTTTTTGGGAGTGTCCAAAATAGGAATAGACTGATTATTAGAGCCGATATTCTCCAGTTTTTGATGATCAGACTTGTAATTTACTGATATTACCAATAACTTACCTCTCCCAGCCCACCACACGTTGTTTTCAGCATCTGGAAACTGCAGCCAAAGAGGCCCGAACGCGCAATTTCACCCCTCCCTGTGAGTCCCCACATGTGAAGCTCAGCAGAAACCGTGAATAATCTACTATAATGCACTGGGCTGGTGGCCTAAGAGTGATAGGAGTGTGACTGCTGTTCGGTTAATTCCAGATTTGCGTTGAAATTGTGTTGCTTTTTCAAAACTTTAAATGTACAGAATATCCGGTTATTGTTAATCGGTTTAAAAGGTGAACGATAATCTGCATCTGCTTTTGAAATAATAGCGGTCGATCCTTGCATGAGATGTTTCTCTGGTTTCTTGATAGGGGTACCGCATGTCACAGGCCACTAAGGGTTAGCGATAGATCACGTCACAGGGCACTGAGGGATAGGGGTAGACCTCGTCACAGGGCACTGAGGGATAGGGGTAGATCACGTCACAGGGCACTGAGGGATAGGGGTAGATTACGTCACAGGGCACTGAGGGTTAGGGGTAGATCACGTCACGGCACTGATGGTTAGGGGTAGATCACGTCACAGGGCACTGAGGGTTAGGGGTAGATCACGTCACAGGGCACTGAGGGTTAGGGGCAGATCACGTCACAGGGCACTGAGGGTTAGATCACATCACAGGGCAATGAGAGTTAGGGGTAGATCACGTCACAGGGAGCTGAGAGTTAGGGGTAGATTGTGTCTACCCTTAGGTAACCTCTAAACCTAGGGCTGCAGGGTACTTATAATTGTAAAGTGAATTTAAACATAATACAGACTAAGGAACAGCACACACACAAAACTACATGTTTATTAATGTGATAAATGTAATTTTAAAAAATGCAGTGTCAAACTACATTTATCATATTAATTTTGAATGATATATAGTCACAATGATCTTACAAACAGATTTAAATACATCTTAGCTTATTTAGCACTAGCACTAATGGATTTGTCTCCCACGTTGGAATTAGTGTAGGACCCACCGATATTGGGATACTGTGATGTAGTGGTTGGCTTAACACAATATGGCCATATGGTGGAACGGAATCCCCATATTTATTTGCTGAGATAGGTGATTTTAAGTAGCCTTATAGAATTGAAAAATGTATTTCTGTGTGTGCGCTGTTTCTTAATCTGTATTATGTATGAATTTTGGTCACTACGGCAGCACCATTCCTGCAAAATGCATGTTTCGGGTGTGCCCACAATTCCTTTTTATCTTTACTAAATCTGAAGTGAATTTAGCCCCATTTTAAAATGGCGGCTGGTGAATTATAAAGAAGGCTAATAACCATATCTTAGGGGTCTATATTCATAGAGCAGAATTTTTTCCCAAAAATACCCCATATTTTTAACAAGACTTTTTGCTCATCCTTTTAGCAGCATATTCAGGCATCACTAAAAAGAGGGAGAAAACTAGGGATCGACCGATTATCGGTTTTACCGATATAATCGGCCGATATTCGGTATTCTCGGCAATATCGGTATCGGCCAATTCAGATACCGATATTGCCGATAATACCTCCTAGGACTGCCAGGCTCATTACAAGCCCGGCGGTCCTGGGGGGGGGGCAGAGAGCAAGCGCTTACTCACCTCCCAGCAGCTCCTCCAGCTCCCCAGTGTAACTCTCGCGAGACCCGCGGCCGTCAGAGCGTTGCCATGGATTACCATGGCAACGCTCCGCGCGACACGCTGGCCGCGAGAGTTGCACGGAGGAGCTGCTGGGAGGTGAGTAATCGCAGCCAATGCCACTGGACCACCAGGGACTGTCATATCCCCCCTCCCTGGCCAGGTAACAAGCAGGGAGGGGGGACAACAAAAATAAATAAAGTAAATATAATTTTTTTTTTTTTTTATAATTTAATAAAAAATGCCCCCTCACACACTGCATTATATACACATACACATACACTACACAAACACACTGTGTATATAATGCAGTGTGTGTTTGTGTAGTGTGTGTATATAATGCAGTGTGTGTTTGTGTAGTGTGTGTATATAATGCAGTGTGTGTTTGTGTAGTGTGTGTGTATATAATGCAGTGTGTTTGTGTAGTGTGTTTATTTAATATCGGTGTGTGTTTATGTAGTGTGTTTGTGCAGTGTGTGTTTGTGTAGTGTGTATATAATGCAGTGTGTGTGTTTGTGTAGTGTGTTTATATAATGCAGTGTGTGTGTGTAGTGTGTTTAATGCAGTGTGTGTATATAATGCAGTGTGTTTGTGTAGTGTGTTTATATAATGCACACTACACAAACACACTGCATTATATACACACACTATACAAACACACACACTCTGCATTATATAAACACACTACATTCACTATACCCACACTACATTCACTATACACACACAGTCTGCATTCATTATATACACACACACTTTGCATTTAGTATATACAGCATTCACTTTACGCACACTACCCACACACTACACAAACACCCTGCTTTCATTATATACACACTACACACTGCATCCACTACACACACTAGACAAATACACACTGCATCCACTACACAAACACACATTGCATCCTCCACACACACTACACACACACAATGCATCCATAACACACACACTACACAAACACACACTGCATCCACTACACAAACACACACAGCTCCCCTGTCACACTGCATCCACTACACGTGGCATGTATATTTTGTGCATTTACCTTTAGAAATAGTTTTTATTTTGGTAAATGTACAGAATATCGGCAAATTATATCGGCTATCGGCCTGAAAGTTCACAGAATATCGGTATCGGTATCGGCTCTGAAAAATCAATATCGGTCGATCCCTAGAGAAAACCTTAATGCCAATCATGGCAGACCAGTGGCGTCTCTAGGATACATTTTTAGGTGGGGCACATGGTGGGCCAGGGACAAAAGTAGGGTGGCACATTTAACCCCGCCCTTGCCACAATGTTTTTATTTTATTTTATTTTTTTATTAATCCCTGGTGGAGGATTCATTTTTTTCCACCAGGGATTATTAAAAAACAAACACATTTCCCTTGATACAGTGCCATAGTTGCCAACATTTGAAAAAAAATTCCAAGGACATATATATTGTACAGTGAGCACACAAGCTCACTGACATGCGCAAATAGGCTCACTGACAGACAAAAAACTCTGACTCACACACAAGCTTACTACAGACAAACTCACTTGTATAAATACAAGGCTCACTACAAAGAAGTGCAGGGACACACACAAGCTCACTAAAGACAAGCTCACTGACACACACACGCTCACTAAATAGAAGCTCATTGACACACAGAAGCAGTACCATCTTAACAGTGTTAAAGGCCCCGGGCAAAGCAGTGGACTGGGGCCCTTCCTACACAACAACTCACAGGAATAAATTTTTTTAATTATTGATAGACTGCTGAGTACATACACACAGTACACTGAATACGAACACCGAGAGACTGCCGAATACACACACACAGATTTCTAAATGCACACAGGCGTTGCTGAATGCACACAGGCTGATTTATACATTTACACACACACTGCTGAGTCCACACACACACACACTGCTGAGTACACACACACACACACTGCTGAGTCCACACACACACACACACAGACTGCTGAGTCCACACACACACACACACAGACTGCTGAGTCCACACGCACACACTGAGTCCACACACACACACAGACTGCTGAGTCCGCACACACACACACACACACACAGACTGCTGAGTCCACACACACAGACTGCTGAGTCCACACACACAGACTGAGTTCATACACACACACACACACACACACACACAGAGACTGCTGAGTTCATACACACACACACACACACACACTGCTGAGTTCAAACACACACACACACAGTTCATACACACGCACACACTGCTGAGTCCATACACACACACACAGACTCTGCTGAGTCCATACACACACACAGACTGCTGAGTCCATACACACACACAGACTGCTGAGTCCATACACACACAGACTGCTGAGTCCATACACGCACACAGACTGCTGAGTCCATACACACACAGACACTGAGTCCATACACACACACACAGACTGCTGAGTCCATACACACACACAGACTGCTGAGTCCATACACACACACAGACTGCTGAGTCCATACATACTGCTGAGTCCACACACACACAGACTGCTGAGTCACAGACTGCTGACACACACACAGACTGCTGAGTCCATACACACACAGAGACTGACACACACAGAGACTGAGTCCAGACACACACAGCAGAGAACACACACAGAGGCCTGCTGAGTCCAGACACACACAGAGACTGCTGAGTCCAGACACACACAGAGACTGCTGAGTCCAGACACACACACAGAGACTGCTGAGTCCAGACACACACACAGAGACTGCTGAGTCCAGACACACACACAGAGACTGCTGAGTCCAGACACACACACAGAGACTGCTGAGTCCAGACACACACACACACATACTGCAGAGTCCATACACACACACACACATACTGCAGAGTACACACACACACACACACACTGACTGCTGAGTCCATACACACACACACACAGTCTGCTGAGTCCATACGCACGCACACACACAAAAACAGACTGCTGAGTCCATACACACACACATACTGCTGAGTCCATATACAGACACACAGACTGCTGAGTTCATACACACACGCACAAACTGCTGAGTCCATATACAGACACAGAGACTGCTGAGTCCATATGCACACACACACACAGACTGCTGAGTACACACACACACACACACTGACTGCTGAGTCCATACACACACACACACACACTGACTGCTGAGTCCATACACACACACACACACACAGTCTGCTGAGTCCATACACACACAGACACACAAAAACAGACTGCTGAGTCCATACACACACACACATACTGCTGAGTCCATATACAGACACACAGACTGCTGAGTTCATACACACACGCACAGACTGCTGAGTTCATACACACAGAGACTGCTGAGTTCATACACACACAGTGTCTGAACTCAGCCGCCTGTGTGTGTCTGAACTCAGCAGTCTGTGTGTGTCAGACACACACAGAGACTGCTGAGTCCACACTGCTGAGTCCACACACACAAGCTTCCTCACTAGCAGAGACACACACAAAAGCACATTAAGCCTACCTGGGGGTCAGACAGCCATCTTCCATCCTTTCCAGCAGCAGCAAGGGCTGCTGCTTAACGGCAGGGGTGGTGCTTATGTGCAGGAGGCAGGGCTTCGTTTGGCAGTCCGAGGGAATATAATTTAAACACATGGCCAGCAAGTTGCTGGCATTTGGGGGGCCACAAAGGGGGGCACAGCATGATGTAGGGGGGTCTATGGCAGACACCACACATGTTTTTCAACACACACACATTGTGGCAAACCTAGCCACTTGGGACTGCCTAAGATAGAATGGTTGTGCCTATTTTCTGTTGTGTACTGCGCGCCGGTATAGTGTGGCGTCTCCGGCTATGTTTAATTTATGCTGTACTGTGTATGTCTGTTCGAATCCTCCCCATTCGTTAGCATTGCTATTAAAACTGACTAAGTTGTATATTTTGAAGTAGAAAGGTAACGGTTTATGTCCTCGTAGTTTTCATTACTGTATGTTACAGCAGGGGCTGTTGGGAGGAGGACCTGGAAACGGTAGTCTCCCTCCAGTCCCCTCAACCAAAACCCCTGCTGCCCATCTTTGGAAACCCCTGTTGAGTGACCTGCTTTAAATATCAGTTATTTTTAATAAAGTGACAGTTGAGTGACCTGCTTTAAATATCAGTCTTTTTTGAATAAAGTGGCAGCTGACTCTCAGACTGTGTTTCGTCTGGTTCTTGGGAGGATTTGGGAATATTGCCTGCTTCCAGCTTTGTACTTGGTTATTGCATTCTACCAACAGAGATCCTGGGATTATAAAATTGCAGCTCGCAAAAACAAATTAATTATTTGATTAGATTACTTTTTTCCCCTCATTTCAAAATCATGTGGGGAGCTTCCCCTTGGCCCCTAATGGTCCCTATGGAACAGTCACCACTGACTCATTGTTCTAACAGTGACATTTCTAAAGTGATTTATCATTTAACTTAGTTTAAAATCTATAAATTGTATATTACATACCCTAAACCAGTGGTTCCCAACCCAGTCCTCAAGTACCCCCCTAACAGTCCAGGATTTATGGATTACCCAGTTGTGTCAAAGGTGTTTTTAGAAAGAAAGAAAAAAAAACACACTTTAGACACAACAAGGTAATCCCTAAATCCATGACCGGTAGGGATTACTTGAAGACTGGGTTCGGGAACCCCTGCAATAAACCAATGTCTGCAAAGGCTGCAATTTAATCCCTGTAATTCTCAGTACTCTTGTGTCACCATAGATGAGTCATCGTGTCATAGAGAATCAATCTTCCCAGCGCTTCAGACTATTCATTGTGTTTAATAACTATACTTACTCTAAATAAAGCTATTTTTCCCCCCCTTTTAGTATATACTGTGCCATTTAAAAAAAAAAAAAAAAAAAAAAAATGTCCATTAGCATTCAATCAGGTCATAACACATCATTAGATTCTCCATCTACTGGCTGAACTGGTGTATTACACCTCTTTATAATTTCCTCAGACTGAATGCTTTTAGCACCATGTTGAGCTTCAGTATTAATAGATCACTTCTGAAATGACAGGTCTTCCTGAAAGCAGATCCATTCTAAATAAAAATGGACTTATGGGAATTAAAGGGACACTATAGTGCCAGGAATACAAAGCTATATTCCTGGAACCATCGCTCCTCCTGCTTCCCCCTCCCTTGCGCCCCCCTGCTCGGGTAAATAACCCTTTAACCCTTTTTCCAGCGCCAATGTCCCTCGGTGCTGGGTCGATGCTCCGCCCCCTCTGACCTCCCTCGATGAGCGGGTGCTAATGCGCATGCGCGGAAATTGCTGCTTGCGCATTAGACCTCCATATAGGAAAGCATTGAAAAAGCGTTTTCAAACATTGCAGCACTAAGTGCAAAAGGGGCTCAGCACCCAGACCACTACAGCCTACATATGCAGGCTTACCTGGCTATGGAAATACTGGTAAAGGGTAAGGGAGGTGGAAAGTATTCTTTGTTAATTTATCCCAGAGATTCAAAATTTGCGAGACCTTGATGATGAGGCTATTTGTTTTTATGACATTTCCGCATAATTGCATGTAGATCGTAGAGAATTGAGCACTGGTGTATACAATAGAATGTTTGTAGATTTCCTCTGGCTGGCCAGTTTGTTTTTTGGGAGTGTCCAAAATAGGAATAGACTGATT